CCGGGGCCACCAGCAGCCCTGGCTCACCTGGCAGAGTCACTGGGGTCAGGAGTGCCTGCCCACCTCACCCAGAGCCTCCTGCCCCCACCGCACCCCACTCTCCAATCCAGTCCTCCTTTGCCAGCCTCACCACCCCTGCCCACCCCACCAGAGCACAAACCTGGAGATGTGGCCATACAGTGCCCCTGGGCATCCCTAATTGGCTCCCCTGTGGTGACATCATAGCGGATCAAAGAGAAGGGGAAGATGTGCTGTGGGAAGAGACCCAGGCACTGGGTCATTTCAGTTGCATGAGCCTCCCTTCCCTCCAACCACCCACTGTTCCATGGGATCTGTGTCATCCCTGCCCCTCACCTTGTAAAGCCAGGAAGCACGTCCCACAGCACCCCGCTGTCCTGTGTAGTTGAAAGTAGCCACATTTCCCTCTGTCAGTCCATATGTCTCCAGCACTTGCAGGGGCCCAAAGCGCCGCACAAAACGCTCCCAGGTGTCTGCACGCAGCCCACTGCCCACTGCCAGCCGGATCTTATGGTCATGTTCTGCCTTGTTCTGAGATGAATGGGAGTGGGGCAGGAGCTTCAACACCAAGATGTCAATTCCCCCAAGTGATGTCCTGTTCCCGACTCCCCAGAACCCCCTCCCACTGTGACATCCTTGTGATTTTCTAAGCATCAGACAGCCTGCACCATCTCAGGCTCCTTATCGTATGCTGCCATTGCCTTCTCCTTGCTTCCTCTCCCTCCAACTCCCAGACAGCTCTCAGTGTCTCCCATCAACTGTCCTGCTCCCTGTGACCTAGCTTGTATCAATAGAGCTGTCCAGGATCTGTGCCACACACCGGGGGCTGGTTGACAAGGTATCGGCACAACTCCCCGATGTACTGGAACACCGTCACCCCGTGCTGCTGGCAGTCCTCCCAGAATTGACCAGCTGAGAACTTGGACTTCAGCACCACTGTGGCCCCTGCCAGAAGCAGGAAGGAGGTTAAGAGCTGAGGGGGAAGCCCTGACCCCCTCCTTCCCAAACACTAGCTTTCACTGTAGGGCAGTTCCCTGGGAAGGACCTGCTGTGAGATCCACATCTTCAGTAGGCCCAGTTGGCCCTCTTCCTTAACTTTCCCACCTGTGCCCTGGAGAAGCTAATGCCCTTTGCTTACTTCCCAGCCCCCAATATTCCATCCTTTGTACCCTCATCCCCATGTCCCACCCTGTTCTCTATTTGCCTCTTCTTCTTCACAGAACTGTATGGCTTTCATAGTTACTCAGTCTGTAGGTCTGAGTGGGTAACATTTCCCCATTGTACCAGGAGCTCCTGCAGCGGAGGGCCCTGACCCCTCCTTCCTTTGGATTCCCTTCCCTATAGGACTCACGGAGCGTCCCTAGCTAAGCACACCACGGTAGGAACGTAATAAACGTTCGCTGGAGGAATGAATGGGGGTGGGGTGGGGAAGACTGACCAATGCCCAAGCAGCCCACAATGCCTAACAGGGAACCAGACATGTGGTAGAGTGGGAGGGTGAGGTAGATCACGTCGTCCTGGTGGACACCGCATAGCTGGTAGAACCCCTGGCATTGCAGGATCTTCAGATGACTGATTCGAGCAGCCTTGGGGAGGCCTGTGTGGTGGTGGGGGGGACATCAGGGAAGGGTCTGAGCTCCAAGTCCTACCTCTGTTTGCCCCCTGCTGAGTTTCCCATAGCAAAAGGCGGAGGCAGGACAGAAGCTGAGAAGGATGGAGGTTAGTTTATCCTGGAAATGTGGGTAGTTTAGGGGAGGTGAAGAAATGAAGAGAGGGTGGGAGGATTGGAGAAACCTGCCACTGGGATGAGCATCCTCTCTGGGAGTTTTGAAGGGGTGGCCTGGGAGCTGAGGAGGTTCCTATTCCCGTTTCCAGGCCCCTGCCTTCCTCTGCTTTAGTTTCTGGGAGGTAAGCATGGTGTCCAGCCCTCACCCGTGGTGCCAGAGGTGAAGATGTATAAGCACGTGTCCATAATGCTCTGAGGGGCAGAGAGGTATCCCGGCACTGGCCCATCCACTTCAGCAGACGCCTGAGCCAGCAAATCGCCGATCCCAGTGGCCTGGGTTTCAGGGCCTACAGCCCACAGGTGGAGCCCCATGGCTCTCAGGGCCGGCAGGTCAGGCTCCAGGGACTCCAGAAGTTCTGGGAGGAGTGGGAAAGCACAGCTCTGCCGCTCTACCGCTACCCAGAAGCCTTCCCCACCCTTTAGCCTATCCCGCTCCCCTCCCACCTTCCACCGCTCTTGGGTGAAGGTGAAGAGTATGGACTTTGCATCACAGATCTGGGACCTGGAGCCCGACTCCTTGGAAGTCCTTGGGGAACCAGATTCAGCCCCATCCCTTCGCAAAAGCAGACTTCCTCACTCACTCTCAGGGAGATAGTCCAGCCTCCTTCCGAGGCCCAAGAACCAGACGAGCCCTTCTCAGCCCCCAGGCACGCCCCTTGCCGTGGGTGGCTCCGCCCCGTGGCACCGCGCTCCAGCCTTACCTGGCGCCAGCACCAGCGCGCGCGCGCCGCAGCTGCGGAGGCAGTGCAGCAGGGGGCCCCGGCGCAGGGCGGTGGGCACAAAGGCCGCGCACAGGCCCGCCTTCGCCAGCCCGAACCAGAGCCACAGGAACTCTGGGCTGGCCGGGAGGAGCAGCGCCACCGTCGCCCCAGGTGCCAGAGGGGCTGTAGCTCCTCCACCTCTAGCTGCCCCATCCCTTCCACACTCGGCAAGCGTCGCGCCGTTTCCAACCGCCGCATCCGCGGCGCCTCGCTCACCTCCGCCTCGCTCGCCTCCGCCT